TAGGAGGAGAGGGAGCGGGTGTAGGAAGGAAAGGCCCGCGCGGACGCCGGAACGGATCGGTGGCGATGCACCGGTCGACGGCACCCGGGCGGACAATCGATCCCTCGGTACGAATACTAACCGGAGGGCGGCCTCCTCCTCGTCCTCGGCAAGCGCACGCGTACACGCACAGATACGAAGACGCACTCAGGAGGGGTGGGACTGAACGCGGGCCACCGGCCGATCTTAAACACGAATGATCCACGCCGGCCAAGTCGCGAGCTCGAGAATAGCCGGAGTCCCGCTCAGCACTAGGCGCTCGGCGTCGCGCGGCAGCTGCTCTGCTCTGGCGCTCGGGCGCCTCACCGGCCGTCGAGGGTCGAGCCCCCCGGGGTGGGGGACGGCGGCTCACAGACGCGCCGGAGAGCGGCTCCGACCGAGGCGCCCTCCCCGTAACTGCGGACCCAGTGGCAAGCTGAACGAGGAGTATCGCTCCACCGGGAGGCAGTGGCTGCGCCCGTTGTCGAGTCAAAAATCTCCCGAGCTCCTCCCCCGCTCGGTCGTCACTCACGAAACCTTTGACAAATCTTGTTGCCTCACCCCACACCCAACCCCCTCACCGCGCCTCATCCCATCATCGCTATTAACCCGTAGCATAACCCGTTGACCCTTGCCCCACTCCACTCCCAGCCGACTATCGGTCACCAGTTCTGGCAAACTCCCTCCCCCCGCGCTTCCCACGAATACCGGATATTTTACGGGGTCTCGCGAGGCCTATAGTTTACCAATATGGCGATTGCCGAACGATGATGAGGCGAGCGTTTAATCCGCGGCATAATCCAATCCCCAGCTGTCTTTATTTGTCGAAAGCCTTAGCCGATGGCAGTCGGAATGAAACATCGACGAGCCCCTGCTCATTGAATTCCGAGCGAGAAATTTGAGGGGATGCGCAGTAGTACTAACCTTCACTACCTTGGCTTCGCCTCATGCTCTGTTGTATCAACCGTGCACGGATACTTGGGGGGCGAGTGAGCGAGACGGACAGAGAGAGAGAGAGAGAGAGAGAGAGAGAGAGAGAGAGAGAGATAGTTGGGGAAGGAGTGTGGAAGTGAGCGAGGGCGGACGGGCGGTAGGGGGAAGAAAAAGAAGAAATACCGTCCTCGCGAGCAGAAAACATAACTTCCGCGAGTATTAAGTCCAAATTAATTTAATTTTCCGCTCTCTCTATTTTATTGTTGCGTTCAAGTTTTAACAACCACCGTCTCTGTGTAGTATCGGAAGGAAAGACTAGTTTACCAACACACTCTCGCGACGCCAACTTCGGCCCACATTGTGTCCAGTTTTCAAGTTATTTACTCGAGGCGCTCCGAGGATATTCATTAAAATTTTGCTTCGAGCAGAGGACTTGTAAACAAAAAGCGTACGTAGTTCGGCAAAATTGAGCGACATCGAGTCGTCATTTGCTCCCATCTCTTGACCCTGATTTATTCAATTATAAATGCGTAAAGGAAGTGGACAAAAATTTGAAAACTCAATAAATGGACAATAGTAGAAAAACTAAGACTATCCTATCGTTATCGGAATTGTGCTAAATGCACATATCATCGTATGCGCGAATATGGATGCGCGCCCACACACGCGCACGCAAAGCTGATCGGCACTCACACGTGCCGTGTTCTTTAATGCGCTTTAATTCGCTAGCAGCGACGTGCCACTACACCGAGACATTTATCTATAAAGATAGGTCGCAAGTGATGATCATTCGAGTTGTCGGCTTTCCTCATGTCGTTCAGGGGAATTTATTCTCTGAGGGCAGCCCGCAACTCGATTAGACTGTATTTCCCGAATCAGCGATCGAAGTCACCGTGATTATTGAGAAAAGCGACTGTGCTTTGTGAGAAAATGAATAAAAACGATTCGATTATTATTAATAATAATAATAATAATGAACGAACGAACGAACGAACGAACGAACGAATGACGAATGTATATATAAATAAATAAATAAAGATAGAAAGAAAGTAGAGAAGATATGAAGTAATAAACAGTGACGCGGATTACCAATTTCAACCGCCAATTGAAATGCAATTTAGCGTTATATTTATGATTTTTCAATTACCATTATGCATCGTAAAGATCATTAATGTGATAAGCTTTAAAATAGCAAATGTATGCTTAGATTCTATGTAACAGCTTTTAATACTTCATCATTCACTGGAATTATAATCGCTCTAATATAACGGCTGGCTAATTTCGCATTTCAATATTAATCAACGAACGCACGTCTTTCTACAATTTTCATACAATGCATTTCCACGATCTATTATTATTATTATTTTTATTTTTTTTCTTACAAATTTGTGTAGACGTACACACACACGCATGCACACATTAATTAGCGCTACTACATAATCGGGAACAAAATTGATGGCGATGTAAAACAGTATATAAATTAGTGTGCAATTTAGATATAAAATGATCGGTTGATGGATAATACGACATTTGATTGATAAACATGTAGATATAAAAGTAAGTTAAAAAGTCCACACGAGTTAATAGAATATGGCATAATATTCATTAATATTAAGAGACTAAAATGATGTTTAGTTTAAAGCGTTTATATTGCAAATCATGTGCTTTCACGATAATGTAAAAGTTTTTTCGTTAAATCTTCTCTCAAACATAATGTGTAATAAACATTAGACAAATCACTGATAATTTTAATTGAAAGATATTAGAATTTAATTATTTCAATTGAATTACATTTATTAAAGTATATATATATATATATATATATATATATATATATATATCTAGATTTTTAATATTATTAGTCATTTTATTACAAACATGTATTCGTTTATTTATTTAGTTTTTCCTTCTGTTTTTATTTTTATTTTTATTTTTATTTTTATTTTTATTTTTGTAATAGAAGAGCTTTTCTTTAAAAGACGATCATTCTTTTTTCATTTGGTTTAAAATTGTCACGTGTACTTTTATAAATATTAATGCATAAATTTAAAAAACTTTTGGCTTTTTATAACGAAAAAAAAAAAAATTCCATCAAAAACCACTTTAACCATAGATCCCTTTTTAAAGTCACCGGTCAATATCAATCGGATGCACTGTTACATTTGTTAAAAATACATTTATTGAAAATTCTTATAAAAATGTACGTTTTTAGGCGAATAATAATCTGCGTATCTAATTATTATTATCTAATTAATTAATACATTTTTTCCTGGATTTTCTCAATAAAATTATTAAACTTCATCTTCATTCAGGTAATCTGGATTAGCGATGCTTCTTAAATATCAAATACATCATATCCTTACAAAGATCATTCAGCCATTATACGAAAATTGAATTAATTAATTATCAAATGTTTATAAAATCTTCGCACCTTTTCAAACCCAAATTTGAACCATTACTCAGTTTTAACGTGACTCATTAATCATACGGAATAAAAGAATACCATTTGCAATTACTAAAGCACCGTCACGATATTTTATATTTATCTCTTAAATTTCTGACGCGCTCCTCGCGATGTATCGTCACGACTTTAAGTCAGTCCAACATACGGTTTCGACACCATTTGACCCGGGCAACATCCGGAGCAACAAGTAAATCTCATAATATCGACTTCTAGTCCACGAACGCGTGTTCTCTTATCACTGACGATCAGTAGCTCCTTCTCCTTCGCCTGTACCATCTCAGCCGTTGCAACAGCCGAAACAGAGCGAGACGCACGGTTTCACCAACGGATCGTTATTTAAGACTGCATCATCATAGCTGGCTGGATGCCTCTCTCACCTCCCCCCTCCCCTCTCCGTCTCTCCCCCTCAAGCTCACGCGCCGCACCCTCCGTGCATACAAGTAAAGTTGCACAAGAGCTCATTTCTCGCGCATGAACGTTAACCTTCGCGCGATGAGGGTGGCGCAAACTACACGGGTTTATCTCAGCGACGGCTATTCGTTGTCCCACGGCTTTGTGCTCGTGAAAATTAACGTTATCGCGTCCTCGCACTTGGTTGCATCTTTATGAAAAACGAAGAATGAGAGGTAGCGTGGAGGGGCGTGATGGGGGGGGGGGAGACGAGCGAGCAGAAAGAAGGAGAAATAATGGAGGTGATAATGAAGCGAACGGAAAAACGGATGAGTTGTTGGGCACGTGCAATACTCAAACAAATGTATGTTTATGCATTGGTAAGTGCAGGCAGGCGAATACGATTGTTGCAGGGCGCGGCTAAGAGTAACAAAATAGAGAAAGAAGCGAAGAAAAAAGAGTTCGAGCCATCGTTGAACTCCATCGCTCCCAAGAATTAAACGCGGATGAGCGTGGACAAAGAGTTCGCGCCAATCTATTGCCGGATAGATGGATATCCTTTTAAAAACTAGAGCTAAACAAAGGACAGGAAGTGTCCTGAAGACTGCTGCAGTCGCCCGCGTCTCCTGTCCTTGTAATTCAAGCTACGGCTGCAAGCGATTGTCCTCGTCGAAAATCCGCAGCAGCGCGCGCGTTTTCATTCTCGCATTTCATCTCCGGCAAGAAAATTAAATAAGCCTCGGTTCTTCGGTTTCGTGGGCTAACAAAATAAAGTGCCGAAATGCCCATTTAGAAATATTTTTAACGATACGCCATGATAATGTAAACCACCGAATGCAGTCTCGTACTATCGTAATACGTAGCTTTTCAATTATTTTAAAACCTTGGCGTTTCCGCCGACTACTAATCTTGGTCTATTATAGCGATAATTAAAAATGAAAATTTTAAACGATATGATATTCTGCGACGGTTTTTCGAGATAACTTTACAATGTTGAATAGCTGTGAAACTCACTTCAGAAAACAACAACAACAACAACAACAAATTTATTTCTCATACGAATTAATATTGTTAAATTTACTTGTATCACATTGTCCATAAAGACGTATTCCATTTATGCAAAAAAATTGTTCTATTATTATTGTTGCTTGGATTTTTTTTCCGCTCCTACGATTGGCCTGTTCATACGATACATTATTATTGATCATATAATAAATTTTTTCCATACATATGTCTTCTAAGCACCGAAAATTAAGACATTTGTTATTTTTACATCAAACGATCGTATAATCTCAGTTGGCACCAATGTTTGTTTAGAAATTATTTCTTCAAATATTCAGCTACTTTCGACAAAGTTGTAAAATCACTATAAAGCGATGAACAGCGTCATTACACTAGTTGAACATCAACATAAGTTACAACAAGTTTAAATAACTTATCATACAATACATCGAATAAATCTAAATAACATTACTCTACCCACAACCAGTAAAAGATAGAGCAAATAAA